TAAATATAATATATCCAAGTACAGGTCAATTCAGATATATACAAATCATGTATATGTATTTGGTGCGTTTGCAACCCACATGCCTTTTTACATTGATTGAAATATACGTCCCTGTATTGTCCCTGCAGTACAAAGTGGAGCAAAAGAGGAATCTGGCTGAGTCTAGAAGGAGGCGTACGGCGTTCAAAGCAAACATGAAAGAAAGCCAGGAAGCAGGTGAAGAATAAAGCCCCACGACTGTACAGAGAAGTGCCATCTTGTGTTCCACGACGCATTCAATTAGTATCGAGCATGCTGGTCCTAAGATTTTATTGTGTAAGGATGCTGCTTAACAGTGTAGCCGATTTATGCATACTTGCAGCTAGTAAGGTCTAGAATGGTATTAATATAGACTTTATACATTCTTTGGTTGCTATGTCCGTGTACTTGTATAGAAGTATCGATGGAGCTGAATATTCACCTGGCCAGTATATGGCTGTGCTAAAGTGGTCGCAACATGTTTTGCGTTTACATCAATGGAAATGCGATGGTGAGGTCTTGATTTAACTACCTGACGAACCGTTGTTCAATAGTTGTATGGTCCAGGACCTGATGGGATTGAGATGAATCTTTTTGCATCCGCCAACCAGGGCATTCAGCTCAATATTCAATATCACACAGGAGGGTGTCCAAAGCAAGTAACTTGTCATGATGAGCCAATATACTATAATCAAAAGCACTTCCGGCTTGGATATATTAAACTAATATGATGCACTCTCTCATCCATTTATCGATCCTCATTGCCCAACAAAAGACACACGAATATCAACTCAGATAGCAATTAATGTGCCGTGTTAAAACGACCATGTCTCGACCGATCTCTATGGATGCGCATTTGAGCCATTGAAGTACCGCACTACAAAACGTCTTTTTGTCACCGATTGGTTATCTTCCTGCCGTGCAGTGAGTTGGGGTTGGGTTTGGGGACCGCTCAAAAAGACCAGACTTCACTATGTCAGCGTAAACAATCGGATCATGTGTTGGTTGCACTTTTAATTCTCCGCTACACTGTAGATATCGATGCTCAGCACGCCCACACGGTTTCCGCACGCTACTCATTAGGCAAAAGAGACTTGGCTTGTGCTGCTTTGCACGGTTTAATACTAGGATTGTTGTTCACTGGCAAGGGTACGCTCGTCTTGAGTTGCTACGGTATGAATTATACCCTATACCTGTGCCCGTATTTTTGGTGCTGGGCTCATCTCTGGCGCCTGTGGTCCTGGTCCAAATATTAAACTTCATTCCTTAACGGGCAGGGTGCGTGAGACATCCCAACCAGCCATATGAGTATTATACAGGCTCTTGCAAGCTCATGCCTTGAGACATGCCAAATCATGCATCAACACAAACACAGAACAGAATTCGGACGGAGTGACGCGTCCAAATACGATACGCAATTAGACCGCAACATACATAGCGCAGGCTGGTTCCTTTGCCATGGACAGCTGTTGAACTACCCCGTGCCATCAAACTAAACCCCCTTGTAGACCTATAGGTGTACTTACAGGGACGCCAACAACAATCTCCAATCATTTCGATGATCGGGGCCTATGATAGCCCATTGGCCCTATCACGATTGGAAGAGATTGCTTATAGCTCTGCGTGTTGTGCCGTGTGCTGGCCTTCATCCCTCACGTTGTTCTCCTCCGTGGGGTTGGGATCTGTTTCGGCCGTGTCTGGTTGCTTCTTTCCCTGTGGTTTAACGGGGGTAGTCTCCTCGATAGCGCCCTTACGCACCTCTGCAATCCATTTCTGTGGATTAAGCACGAGGAATACGATACAGTGAGTATATTACATGGCAATATATAGGGAGTATTTTTTGAGTCATTTTTGTGGTGGAGGCTCATCTTCCAGCGAATCACTACCAACTTGCTTTGGGGATCGTCCATAGTTGGGGGTGCGAAGATACGTTCGTAATATCGAGCGAAAGCTAATACTCTCATGACACACTTGATCAGTGTGGGAGTAGTATTAACATGCTGAAGTTAACCATCACAACACGAGTACCATTGTGTCATCCATAGCCCTTCAGATCTCTCTTGTAAGACATCTCTCCCTTTGTCAAAAGTTCACAAACAAAATATCCTTGGATACTTCACGATAAGCTTTTACTCTCTGTATTTGCAAAGACGATGACACTCCACACACACCCCAGACACGAACTAACACACAATGTGGCTGTCAAGCTTGTCTATCTAGCAGTCAGAGTCAGGCTACGTGACTATATGGAACAGCCCGATTCGTCCTCCCGCCTGCATACCTTCAAATGTCCCAAGTCCCTTTTTCCTGCATACTCGTAGTACGCATTAGTGTCCTTGCCAAACAGCACAAGTGTAGGGAACTGTCTCACAGGATAGTCTTCTATCGCGCTATTCGAATAGTCCATCTTAGCAAGCACTATCTCCTCATCGCCCTCAAAGTATTCGGCCAGAATCTCCCATTTGCCCTGAAATCCTTTGCTTTTGGGATCCCAGAGGGCGTCTGAGTGGAAATGATGGACAACATGCATAGCAGGTGAGATATGTTTATACTTGGATATGGATATGTATGTATACCACACTATATTAAATGCGCATCTATAGATGTTATATGTTAATGATGAGAAAACAACCCGACACTGCTGTTTGCTCGTTCATACCAGCGTATATACTAAAATCAGCCAGAATCCTTAATCAAGTGTATATGCTCTGCTTTGGAAATACTAGGACACGCCTGTGCAGCATATCCACACAAACATACACACGTAGAAATTTAAACGTATGTCTGTATACATAAATTTGTATGTAAGTCTGTGTATTCTTATTCTTCGAGGACTTGATAAAGGAGGGGTCTCCATCTGCGAAAGGCGCGTAGGTACCATCTAAGGCTTTACTAGGTTGCTAATCCTAGAAAGACAAACATGCATACAAATATAGCGACACGTGTACACATATATGTTAACATATTTATATACTTTACCGCAAGAGATATTTGAGTGTGTGGACTTGTCGTTTGCTCGAAGTAGATAAACCCACTTAGGACCTCCACAGGCTGTTAACTCAATGCTTATATATTTACATATAACTACAACGTAGAGTGCACACACACACATATATATATATATATATATATATACGTATACATAGTATACATGTATTTATCACTTACAGAAGAAGACAAATGAGTATGTGGACTTGTCGTGTGCGACCTCGTAGTAGTTCGCATCATTTAGGACTTTCACCGGCTGCTGATCCCATCCTGGGGGTGGCTTCTCGCACTCTGACTGCACCTCCCCGTTGAGGTAGTCAACAACGAAGTTCTCCATGGTCTCACACGTCAAAGTCACGTCTGGGATGTATCTCTTAGTCAATTATTTTTAGATGGATAGTAAGTTATGGCTAATATTCGTGTTCGGGATGCATCTCTGAAAGGACTTTGAGTTGAATTGTGATTGAAAAACAAATAGACAATCGAATCATTTTGTCGAGTATTAAAACGTGTATGCCAAAAGCTAGTCGGGTTGAACATCTTTTTGATAACTGAAATATATCTGTGAGCAATTTATATCGGAGTTGACTTTAAGTCATGATCAATTGAATAGACTCTTTGCTCAGGTACTCCATGATAGAGCTCGCCATAGCCATACATTTTCACACCCGACTTTAGACTCAATTTGACAAGCGTATATATTTTAAAGGCTGATCAAATTCAATTCATGTACACACACACCAATATAATCAATGGGGCACAAGAACCCCCCTCCATCGACGTATTCGACAAGTAGGTTCATTATAACCTCAAAAGCCATACTCGGTCTCTAATGTTTATCTCTTGTGAAAATCAGCTAGAGAAGTTGGATGCTACTACCAGTGGTCAATGTATATACGTCAGGTTGGGATACGAGAGTTGAAAAACTTCATGTATACATACACGGTAGTGGATGTATCTCTGTTAAGTGAGTTTATATGATAAGTTCATTGTAAGGTATGGACACATATACACCTATCAGAAGTACCACAGTCGCCCACTCGCATTCTTATCGCATCTATCGATATAATTATGTATACATACACGGTTGTGGATGTATCTCTGTTAAGTGGGTGGGTTTATATAATAAGTTCATAGTAAGGTATGGACGCATATACACCTATCAGAATATCCACGCTCACTCGCATTCCTATCCCGTCTATCGATAAAATTTTACCACAGAAAGGTTTCGACGGTTTACATAACATAACAGTATCATAACGGTCGTATGCAATACATCGAGATGAAGCTGTATGAGTGGGCAAATTACCTACTACGCACACCATTCACACATCCCTGAACCTAGAAACTAGTCTTCTACACATACCTGTACATGTATACACGTATTTGTAGTGGCTACCATGAGTGCGCGAATCAAGCTTGAAATTACCTGCTTGCTGTCGCCGTTCACAATGCGCAATGTGGGATCCTCTCCCTTGATGGCATAGTAGTCTACAATACTCCCCACACCCAGCTCGGTGTCATCCACAGCCACAGAAATGAAGAGAATCTGCATATCCGAGGAAACGTATACATTTCAAAATGACATCACTGTCTGTGTGTGTTTTCCGGATATGCTCGTCCCCTGAAATGACACCAACCTATGCCCTTTCCAAAGGCATGTATGCCACTGTTCAATCGATTCGCAGTGTCTCATACATTTCCCAAGTACACTCACGAGTGCGCGGTTAAACATCCATACAGCATCCTGCAACCTAGGAATGAGTATCATCCTCCTTGAACCTCAAAGAACTCCGCGCTTATCGCGGATGCGCAGTACAGTGCCTTTCGTCTGCTGCATTTGACTAGGGTGGTCGTGTGCACAGGCTCCGTCTCTCGGGTATCCATTGTGTGTACAAATATCAAAGTCTGCGAGTGTATTCATTCTGAGCTTTTGCAATTGGTTACGGTTAGATGGTAGGCTCGGCTGCAGAGGTGTGTATCCTAGAGCTAATAGATGGGGTATAGTAGACTAGTCGGGCGTATGGTATGGCCAGTTTTCTTCACGTTTCAGCCATATCCTTGCCTACGACCGCTGTTATCATAGAGGTAAACTGCTGTCGATGTATGTAAGAACATATGAAGAGAGCACAGCAGAACATATGCACTCATAAACGCAGTGCAACAACTACTACCCAACTCCTCTAAAGTCCATTAATGAATCAAAAAGTCATCGACAATCGAATGAAACAGGAAAACCAGGTGTATCAACCAGCATGTTGTATTTAAACCCAATACACAACAGTCACGGCGATAGCATTCGCTATTTTATAACGAGAAGCGTGTGTCTCAAAATCCGAGGACGAACGCAATCCCAAAACAATATTAATTATACGAAAGCAACTCCAAACGACCGTATGTTATAATCGTGCAGTACCGCAGACACCATAGTCCAACTCAAAGTGCATTTTCAAAATCCTGAACAAGTGCACTTTTAAACATCTAAGCCCTGAATCAGGGATACAAACGATATATTGAATACATAGCGGGCTTTTCAGGGACAAAAAATCGTGTAAAGGTGAAAACCAGTCCCAATCAGACATTTAAAGGTGCAAAAATAACCACCAGGATATGAAGAAGCAGAACAGTCCTATATGGGTGATATAACAGAATGCGTACCTCGTCTTTGTGCTCATTAGCAATTCTTGAGAAGCACTCTTGGAAACCCTCCAAATTCTTGCGTGAAGCGAAGAGTAGACATTGTGTCTTCAAATTCGATTTAAAAATAGCGTGTGCGCTCTCGTCCGTGTACTCAATGACTGTGGGCGCCCAACTGGCCTCAATAAAGTCCATCAGATCCTTTGTAGACCATTTATCGCGGCCTGTAGTATGTTCAGGCTAATATTCAATATGTACACACACACACATATATATATATATATGTATGTATGTATGTATGTATGTTTGTATGTATAC